TCAAAGACTGTTTACCAACAGATTTCACAGACTGTTCATCTGACTCAAAATTAGACTTGTATTCTGAAAGGACAGAATTATCATAGTTGCTGTGACCCATGTCTCCATTAGATCCATTCTTTGCCTTCATCTCTGTAACTTTGCTGGATCCTATGATTGTGGGATCCATCCCTTCCTGATTTTGCCTCTCAGTTAAGGGGCAGGTCTGAGAGTTTGGCTGGTCAGGGTCTGTGTCTACTTCGCCAAAGTCCCATTCTTGGTGAGTAGGGCTCAACGTGAAAGCATTAGTCTCTGTCTCCACTTTGATCTGCTTTCCTTCTTGATTGGTGCAGAGTTCCTTATGTTCCTCTTTACTGTGAGGGGTGTCTGGTTCCTCCTGGTTCTGACTGGAACCTTTCTCTTCATTACAGAGTTTCTGGTAAGCAAAGACATCCTTCTTCTTACAGACCTGTTGCTCCAGAATGACTGCAGAGAGAGAAGAACATAAGCAGTTATTTTATTTTATTTTATAGGAATCCAATGGAGGATCCTCACTGGTGAGAAGTTGTTTACGAGTAAAGTATGTGGGATTAGAGGACTTGAGTTTTCCACACATATTCTAAAAAATAAGGGCTTCTCACCAGTCTGGATAAACATAGGGATTATGAGCCTACTTTTCCAAATGAAACTCTTTCCACATGTTTTACATTAAAAAACGCTTCTCAGTAGATTTTCATGTGGATCAAAAAATTCTTAGAGGTTTGTAGACGTACAAAGTAAACATTTCTCTCACCTTCGTGGTTCCTCGTGTGAATCAGCAAAGATCGATCACAAAGGAAGCTTTTCCCACATGTCTCGCGCTTAATTGGCTTCCAACTTTCGTGGAGGTTTTTTTCCTCCGTATCAGCCCTCAGAGGCTCTCTACAAACAGATTTTACAGACTGCTCATCTGGCTCAACTTCAGAGATATTTTCCTTATCAAACTCAGGGTTCTCTCGTTGCTTCTGGTTCAGACTGGAGTCTCTCTCTTTACTACAGCACTTCTGGTGAGCAAATGCATCTTCCTCAACGGCCAGTTGCTGTGGAATGACTGCAGAGAAAGAAGAAGAAATACATCCAATCAGATTATCATAATGTAGGGTGAAGCCTTTTTAATAGCAAAACATGGCTTTCTACTGTATTCTGAATAAAGTAAAACTGATCTGCTGATAACTTGAATATTAATCTAAATAACTTATGACAGCTGTCCAAAATGATGAAAACGTATCAGACGTAAAATGGTGAATGTGATTATCAAAAGTGAGATTGCTGTCCATAGTGATGTCATAGTCTGTTTACTCCATATGTTTAAAACTAGTTTTATGCTTTAACAAGTTGTACTCTTATTTCTATGTGAAAAGATAAGATACTTTATTGATCTCACAGTGGAGAAATTTAATTTCAGTACAGCCCGTCCAAGATCTTACAAACAGACACATAGACACAGGGTTCGGGAATACTTTGGGGCAGCTCACCTTTTTACTTCAGAAAAAAAAAAAACATTGGTAAAGTGGTTTAGGGAAGAGGAGGAAAAGGGCCCAGTGCCACAACCCCTACAGGGGACGTAAGAAAGATGGAAAAAAAAAACCCTCAATACACTTAATCCAGGGGTGTCAAATTTACAGATTTAATCCGACCCGCGAGATGATTTGAAGTTAAAATTAGATAACATTTTTCAATGAAAGTAACTGCTGTTCTAAATGTGTCCACTGGATGT